CACACACACACACCACTCTCTCTCTCTCTCTAATAAATAAAATAAAAAAAAAACAAATTTCACTGAACAAAGTAATAGTAATTCTACGATGGTTCTATAATGCATGATGCTATCTTCAGATTAGTTGCTCAGCCTACTAAATATAAAAGTGCAGGGTTTGCTTAAAGAAAAACAACAAAACAGTTACTTTTCTTTCTGTCTCTTTTCTAATAGATTCCACTAATGTTTTCAGAATTGTATTTAATAGGAGTTAAGAGAGTAAACATCTTTGTGTTGTTCTTGATTACACAGTGAAAGCTTTCATTTTTTCGACCATTTTATGTGCTGTTAGCTGTTTGTTTTCTCATAGATGGCTGAAGGAATATGAACATTATTATTGGTAACTTACTATTTAAATCTTGTATGTCTAATTCTCAAAATACTTTGGTGATTTAACGATAGTAATATAAACATTTTGGTGTATTCAAAACCTTTCCTGGGCTGGTGAGATGGCTCAGTGGTCTAAAGCACCTACTTAGAACAAGCTTGGCAAGGCACAGGGACCGTGGTTCAATCCCCCAGCACCACATGCCAGCCAACCCCGCCCCCTGGTGGGCTGAGCTGGCCACACACACACACACACACACACACACACACACACACACTCACATAAATAAATAAAAATTAAAAAAATTTTATAAAAAATAAAAAAAAATTTTTTTAAAAAACCTTTCCTTATGGGGTATGGGGCAGTAGCTGAGAGCATATGTGTGCTGAATTCCTTAACTGACTCAAATTTTGCATTCCTTACTTATGACCACTATCATTCTTTAGCAGCTTCTCCTTAGTTTGCCATGTGTGATTTTCCATTGATGGTGTTCTTTTTGTTTCTTTCCTTGTAATTTGCAAAAACTTATGGAGGTGGTGTGGGAAAATATTTTGAGACATTTTGTCTCACTCTTCACAAATGCTGATATCTGAATCAAGGGAAAAGTACTTTTTCATTAGTTCTTTTTGTCATGAGTGTAAGATTTCTCAAGTTTACTGAACCATAATCATATCTATCTGCAAGTGTAATAGGACAGTGTTTTCTCTGGACATTAGAATGAAGTCACTGGTCTATGGATTTGTGGAACTACAAAAAAAAAAAAAGTCACTGTGGAATGTATCAGGGTTTTTTTTTTTTTTTTTTTTTTTTTAATGTTTTTGGTACAGGGTCTCACTATGCAGCTCAGAATCATAGTGATCCTTCTGTTTTTAGCCTTCCCACTGCTGGGATTACAAGCCTGTGCCACCAAGCCTGGTCTTGGTGGCCAGCTCAGCACTTGGTATTAGGGCCAGCATGGCATGTGGTACCTGGGATCAAACTCCATTCCATGCACTTGCCTAATCAGGCATTTATTCTGCGGAGCTGTCACTGGTCCACAGTTGCTGTGATTTTCCACATCTTAATTTTCTTGACTATTTTAAGATTTTCTGGGGCTGGGGAGATGGCTCAGTAGAATAAGTGCTTTCCTGGCAAGCGCAAGGGCCTGAGTTCATTCCCTGGTCCTGCCCCCCTCCCCCAAAAAAAAAAAAAGATTTGGTCTTGTTTTTATACTCAGTGTTTATCTTGAGTTAGATATGTTATATATTGTAGGGATTTGTGTTCATTGATCTTTATTCTCTAATGAGTTAAAAATGTCTTAGTCATTGCAGGCTGATCAGGGCCACAATCTCCCAAACAAGTGAATGGTGAAGACTTAAATAAATAAGACAGATGGTGTAATTTCAGGGTTCTAGTAGGTTCCAACCCCTCTAACAGAATTTGAGATTCTGTGGAACTCAGAAAGAACTTCACAGGGTGACCCATATTTATTAGGTTTTCAAAAGAGAGGGGTATTTAAGTAAACACAAGCGTTTTTGTAGGACATTGGGAAATATTTTAGTGAAGTAGTGAATTATGTCAGTCAGAAGAACTACCTTATCTTTAGACTGACCTTTATTGTAGGAGTGTGGAGACTGCATCTGCAGGCTTTTGGTTGATTGGGATTGAAGCCAGCTGCCCTCAACTGTGATCTTATCTTGTCCATTGAGACATCCCAACCTCACAGGCCAATACAGACCACAGTGGGGACCAGTGATTCTGAGAGGTTCACTTTCTATGAGTCTGCTACCTGTCTCCAGACAAGGGGTCTAGTCCTTGGACAAACTCATATGTAAATATGAAAAGCCAATTGTTTAATACTAAATCTTGCTCAGAGCTGCTTTGTAGTGTTCTCCATCAGTTCTCTATACAAAATCACTGTACTATGTACATAGCAAATGTTATAGTCTTGTTTTATATATTTCCCATCGTTTTCACAGAGTTCACTTTCTCCTGATCCCTTTTTATGCTTCTATTCTCCTTTTTCCCCATTTTTCTCCCCACCCCTCCATTGTTCCCCAACTCATCTTAACATTTTCTTCTCAGATGCCTCAAAAAATGAAAAACTGGGGGTTCCATTTGATCTAGCTATTCCCTGTGTTAATTTGTCCTCAAAAGAATTAAAAGCATCATACCACAGTGATCTGCTTATACTGGCATAGTTTGTAACAGAGAAATCTTGAAAACAGCCCAAGCATCCATCAACTGATGAAAGCATAAAGATCTTGTTTTTGTTTTTATAAAAGGGCATATTTCTTTGCTATAAAGGCTAAGCTTGTGACACATCTAGGTAAATGCATGGACACTGAGCTCCCACCCTGAAATGAAATAAAGTTTGACTTACATGTGTAAATATCACATGGTTTCTCTTGCATGAAAAACGAAAACAGTGAATAAAGAACAACTTCATATACTTGTTTGTTTATTTGTTTATTTATTTATTTATTATGTTTAAAAAATATTTATGGGCTGGCAAGGTAGCAGACTAAGCACCTGCTTGGGCAAGCACAAGGTCTGTGGTTTGATTACCGGCACCACAGGCCATGCCAGCCACAGCCCCTGTTGTGCTATGTCGGCGATGGTGTCCGGGCATGGTGGGATACACCTGGAATCCCAGCATTGGGGTGGTGAAAACAGAAGAATCATTGTGAGTCTAAGCTGCATAGTGAGACCTGTAACAAATACATTAAAAATAAATAAATAATGAAAACTGATTCAGATTTTAAAATATTGCCTATGTGCCATATGAGAAACAATGACTTCATTCTATGAATGGTCATGTGTATAATTTGTTGTTCCTCAAAAGTATTCTGTGGGTATTTTTCTGATTCTACTTTTTGGAAATGGTGATTGACTAGCTCCTTGTATAAGTGGTGATTTAGAAACACTACACAAATACAATTTCTGTAATCCTACCAGGAAATCACTTGTACTAATTACTTTGTTTAGCAGACAGTGGCAATTTAGCATCAAAATTGTTTGTAAAACTATGTATATGGGGGGCTGGTGAGATGGCTCAGTGGTCTAAAGCACCTACTTAGAACAAGCTTAGCAAAGCACAGGGACCAAGGTTCAATCCCCCAGCACCACATGCCAGCCAGCCCCACTCCCTGGTGGGCTGAGCTGGCCACACACACACACACACACAATAAATAAATAATAAATTAAAAAAAACTATGGGGCTGGTGAGATGGCTCAGTGGT